GGGAAGCAGATCCAGAATCCAACTGCTTATTTCTTATTCATTTCAAGCGTTTTCCATCCGCAAAAGTTGGAATGGATTTCATTTGTTCACTCCATTGATAATAGAGAATCCGGATGACATTGCTAGCTCATTGTATTCCACCGTTTCCTGTGCAATTTTCCATCTTTCTTCAGATCTTATTAGTGGCCATTTTTTGAACTTAAAATGCAGTTCCAGTGCCAGGCTGTGGACTGGCAAAATGCTACAAAGGCAGGGGGAGGGGGAGGCCACGGTCCCTTTAAATTTCCCTCCATACCTCGGGCAGCTTCTGCTTCTGAGCGTAATCAGCTGCTTCCTGTTAACTGGAAAGGTTCCTCCTGAATCAGCACTTCCTGTTCCCTGTGAGGGGAATTTTTAATGCTATTTGCAACTCAAACCATTGCTTCTTACTTTGTTTCTATTATTTGTCATGATTTTAATGCATAATTGCGATCACGGGAAGTAAAAGGGAAAAAATGAAAAGCAATTTTTAAAGACGTTGTGATGGCTACAAAAAGCAATAAAACACACACACACACCCCGCCAGTAATCAAGGGGCAATTCAGGACTGCCACAGTCATATAAGAATGAGCAGGTATTGACTAGGGATGGGCACAGACTGGGAAAATGGTGGTTTGTGGTGGCTGGTTTGATTACACAAACCACGAACTTTCAGGAACTTTCCCCATTTCCCAAACCGGTTTGTGGTTTGTAAGGTTTGTGAGTTCGAGAGGTGGTAGAACAGCCCCCTCCTGAGTTACAGAGGCCAAATGCACGGGGAGGCTTCAGCAGGCTCTCTTCCACCCACCCTCCAAATTTGGCGAACATTGAGTTTGGGATGTCTGAGTTGTAGCCCCCCCAAAGCAGGTGCCCCCAGGAAAGCTGAGCTCTAGCCTCCCCTCAAATCAGCCACGCAGCAAGCAATTCTTCCCAACTCCCTCTCACATGACGACTAACTCCTCTCTCTTCCTGCTGCAAAGTGAAAGGGTGTGGTTTATATACACAACCTGCTCCCATAGAGCAGAATGGGAGGTCCGCGGTTGGCTTCCAGAGCTGCCAATCAAGCTATGGACAACTGCTATGGGTTTTTCTAGGACTCTCCACAAGTCCACCCCCAGCATTGCCTAGGAACTGAATAAATCAGTGCCAGGCTGTCTGGAGATCGAACCGCTCGCCAAATGAACCTCCACGGAAAAAAGGTGGTTCGTTTTTGGATTCGGGAATGACGCGACCAAATGACGCGACCAACCAGCCTGGTTCGTGCTTGAACCACGGTTCATTTCTCAGTTTGTGCCCGTACCTAATATTGACTAATTAAGAATGCTATACCAGATGAAGAAAGTCAAAATTTAAAGAAGTGGGGCAGGGAGAAGGAGGACCTTGTCAAATGAGACTTTTGAGTAAACATATAGTAGGATCTTAGCTTTGGGGAATTGCATTGCCTAATTTTAACGAGGAACGTAGACCATGGCCACAAAAGCATCTTATTTCTTACCTAGAGAAAGCCAATCCTGAAGATGAATCCCAAAGCCCCACCTGGTCCATTACTCAGAAAATGGCAGCCGAACAACTGACAGATTGCATGGTTCAGGGAGAATTTAATTGTGACAGAAAAGGCTGCTATAAGCCATTTTCTTGGTGATTCCAGGTGGTACCAGCTAAAGAGACTGGAAGGGACTCTCCAAAAGCTCCCCCCCCCCTTGCTTAAAATGGAAAACAAGTAAAACAGCCTGAATGACTGATTGAGAGAAAGAGAGTCAAATGAAATGAATGTTTCCACCCATAATTTATTTATTTATTATTTATTTTATTACATTTATACCCCGCCCTCCCCGTGAACATCATAAGAGAAACGTGTTTTCCTACCTGTTCTGGGAACACCTCACCAAGTAATGTTTTCCTGTGGGAAATGGGGGGGGGGGGTGTAGGGGAGAGGAAAGAACAGAGAAATAAACGTATCAGGAAATGTCCTGCAAGACGTATCCTCCACATTAAGTCAAATTCCTAGGGGGCAGGCTGACGTCTTTGACCCTCAGAGGCCTGGTAGCGAAGTCTGTGTGTGTTTGGAAGTCAGCAAAAACTCAGCAGTAGAATCTGAAGAAGTCCCCAGGCACCAAGTGGCCCAAAAAACACACAGCACTGCCTCAGACTCCATCAGACACCTCTCCCCCCCCCCGTCCCTCTGGCAGCCACTCTCCAGGGTCTCAAGCAGAGAAAGGCCTCCCACGTCACCTCCCGCCTGGTCCTTTTTAACTGGCGATGCCTCTGGAGACTGAGCCTTGGACCTTCTGCGTGTCAAGCAGGTGCTCTGCCACTGAGACGCGGCCCCTTCCCGTTTTGTGACGTTACAGCATACTGAGTCAGACCGCCAGTCCATCAGTGTCGGTATTCTCCATTCAGACCAGCCGGGGCTCTCCAGGGTCTCAGGCAGCCGTCTTTCCCACTATCTAGCACCTGGTCCTTTCAACTGGAGATGCCACCAGGGACTGAACCTGGGACCTTCTGCATGCCAAGCAGAGGCTCTGCCACTGGGATGCGGCCCCTCTCCAGAAGGAGGACTTCATGCAGGTACAAACATGGGCTGAACTGCATCTCGGGTTTCTCCCCAGGGTTCACGACAGATTTCACCCTCTACCTTAACTCCTCTTCCCCCTTGAGCAGGATCTGAAGATGTGAGCTGTGAATCATGCCTCTAAGGCACCACCAGACTTCTATTTTGCCACAACGGAGTGGTGTAGCTACTTCTTGTATCCCGACCGCAAGTCTTCGTCCCCTCTTTGGCTTGCTGGTGCCTTCACATCTCCCCCAGAAGATGTTGTTTTCAGCAACTGGACTGCCAAGAAGGGCTGCCTACTTTTGTGCTAGGCAAAGCTTCAGGAAACCATTGGGGCCCTACTCAAGAACAGTCTTGCCACGTTGCAGATTTTCTCACAAAACGTAAGGAGGTGGTTTATTTCAACTGATCCCAGGTAATGGGGCTGCTCTCCTTGAGAAGGGAGACCAATAAGCTCCCTTCTTTTCCTTAAAGGACAAACTGCTGCAGGGATCAGAAGGGTCTCCCACAAGACCCTCTTCGCCAGCATCCGCAGCTGAAGGCCAGAACGGAGCCCCTGTGCTAACTAGTCCTGGCCAATGCTCCCGCTAAGCTGTGGAGTCTTGTGAGCAAAAATCCCACTGGCATTAAAGTTGTGATCCAGCAATTTGGCTACTGCATAACTTAGTTTGCTCTGGAGCCATCCTTCCTGAGCTAGGACAAAGATCTGTGAGCTGGAAGCTAAAAAACTGTAAGCTAGCTCACACCAACTCAGCTTAGAAGGAACACTGGTCCTGGCTATGAAGAGAAGGCAGCCTCTGCTCTCTCTCGGCAGCCAGTGTGGTGCCCGGAATGGGCAGAGCCGGGCCCAGAACTCTGCTCCATCATGAAGCTCAGCGGGAAGCATTATAAGCATCCCCGTCTCCCAGCCTCATGTGTCTCACCGGGTTCACCCCCATGCGTGTCACCCTGAATTCCTGGGAAGGAGAGTTTTATTTATGTAGGATGTATTTATATCTTGCTTTTCCACTGAAGGAGGCTTCCAAATAAGAATTAAGGACTAAAAGAGACTTTTGTTGTTCAGTCGCACAGTCGAGTCAGACTCTCCGCGACCCCATGGACCAGATCCTGCCAGGCCCTCCTGTCTTCCGCCGTCCTCTGAAGTTGGCTCAATTTCATGTCCGTTGCATCCACGACACTGTCTAACCATCTCATCCTTTGCCGTCTCCTTCTTTTTCCTTCAATCTTTCCCAGCATCGGGGTCTTCTCCTCCAGTGAGTGCTCCCTTCTCATTGGGTGGCCAAAGTATTTGAGCTTCAGTTTCATTATCTGGTCTTCCAGGGAACAGTCAGGGTTGATTTCTTTTAGGATGGACTGATTCAATCTCCTTGCAGTCCAAGGGACTCTCAAGAGTCTTCTCCAGCACCATAGTTCAAAAGAATCTATTCTTCGGAGCTCGGCCTTCCTTATAGAGCTATAAATATGGTTGGAAGACCCAGGATACAATAGCATGTTTCCACATTGCATTCATTCTCAAAGGAATCACATGACCACCAGCCCACGTCTAGAAACCGAAAATTCAGTGTGGATAATAATTCCATCCACAAAGTTCACCCATCACCCCCTGTGTTGCCACCTGAGTCCAGGAAGAGCTAAACACATGAAGCTGCCCTATACGGAATCAGACCCTCAATCCATCAAGGTCAGTCTTGTCTATGCAGACCAGCAGCGCCTCTCTAGGGTCTCAGGGAGACGTCTTTCCCATCACCAACTGCCTGGTCTGTTAACTGGGGACTAAACCTGGGGCCATCGGCACGCCAAGCAGATGCTCTACCACTGAGCCACACTGACCTGCCAGGATACAAGCTTGTATAGTCTGCAAACTTTCATCAGAGAAAGGGGGACAGTCTATATTCTAGAAACCTTCCTATTCTTTAGAGGATCGTAAGTAACAAGTAAGTAAGCTGGGAAAGATTGAAGGTCAAAGAAGACGGGGGCGGCAAAGGGTGAGATGGTTAGACAGTGTCATCGATGCAACGAACATCAAGTTGAGCAAACTTCAGAGGACGGCAGAAGACAGGAAGGCCTGGCGGGATCTGGTCCATGGGGTCGCGGAGAGTCGGACTCGACTGTGCGACTGAGCAACAAAAGTAACAAGCATGAAATTAAGCCAACTCCGGAGACAGCGGAAGACAGGAAGGCCTGGCGTGATGGGGTCCGTGGGGTCGCGAAGAGTCGGACTCGACTGTGCGACTGAGCAACAACAGCAGCAACAACAAAAGTAACAAACGCTGCAATTCTATGCAGAAAATCAATGGCCTTAGACTGGAGTAACTAAGCAAAGGACTGTGTACCGAGATCACATCTGAACACCGATATTATCTGAAAGTGAAGCGTTATATTTTCTTGGAAGGTCATGCAGTGCTCCAAGCTTGAGAGGAACTTCTGGTTGGGGCGTGCTTCCCCGAACTTTAAAGGCGCTCCACCTCTGCCCGCATTCACCGTGGAAATCGATCAAGGCAGACTTTCCCATTTTTCTCCACTCGGGCCAATGATCCATCCCAATTTACCAGCCCCAACAACCTTCCTTCCTTCTTTCCTCTGGGGCACCCACCCAACCACACGCGCGCCTGACTAGTGATGTTCTCCCATTAGCTAAATACAATACTTGGGGGGGGGGGGTTATATGTGCGCACGTGTGTGTGTGTGTGTGTGTGTGTGTGTGTGTGTGTGCACACATGCACCTGGAAGTCATGGTAACCTCTGGCGACTGACCCCTACTGGGGGCCTGGAGGATATTCAGAGAGGGGGCTGAATCAAGCCTGCCCCCGCCTCCCGACTGCTGGTATTCCAAGGAGGTCTCCCATCCAAGGGCTTGGCAGAGTCGGCCCTGCTTAGCGTCCGAGATCGGGCTTGCTTGGGCTATCCAGGTCAGAGCGAAATACAATACTTTTTGAGAAGCCTCACAACCCCCACCCCACCCCGGCACTGCTGTCAATCACCCCTTCTCCTCCCTGGTCCAAAGCCAGCCCTCCAAAAGCCACGCCGGTCTCTGCCTTCCGCTGTGACTTTACCTCGGGATCGTTTCTTGTTGATCAAGGTCTGGCAGAGAATGACCAGGGTGAAGAGCAGAACACTGACGATGCCTACGGAGCACACGAACACCGCGTAGACGTACATGTCTGGAAGGCAAACAAGGAATGAGAAGATGAAGAGGAGGAGGAGGAGGAGATTGGATTTATACAACGCCCTTCACGTAGGGGGCCATCATAATACTTAAGATTGATAGGCTCTAATCTGGGAGAACTCAGTTTGATTCCCCACTTTTCCACATGCAGCCAGCTGGGTGACCTTGGGTCAGTCACAGCTCTCTCAGAGCTGTTCTCTCAAGAGCAGTTCTCTCAGAGCTCTCTCAGCCCCGCCTACCTCACAGGGTGTCTGGCCAGGTGTCTTTTCTGCTCCTCACCTTCCAGGAGCAGTGACCAAGATGATCTGAGGCATGGCATGGATTGTGAGCTGTCAGTGAGGCCAGGTTAACCAACAGCTGTGCTGGGTTATGTGTTTGCTACCACAGTGGAATCCCGCGGAAGGAGAATAGGAATCGGAGGTCATTTCTATTCCTTCCCCCTCTCCTTCAGAAGAAGAGATTGGATTTATACCCTGCCCTTCACTTCCCGAAGGAGTCTCAGAGCAGTTTACAATCTCCTTTCCCTTCCCCACTACTGACACCCTGTGAGGTAGGTGGGGCTGAGAGAGTTCTTTCGAGGACTGTTCTTTCAAGGACAGCTCTGCCAGAACTATGGCTTGCCCAAGGTCATCCAGCAGCTGCAAGTGGAGGAAGGGGGGCTCAAACCCGGTTCTCCCAGATTAGAGTCCGCGCACTTCACCACTACACCAAACTGGCTTTTGCCTTGGTAGGTTCCCAGGAGGGAAAAAAAACAAAACCCTACAGCTTTTAATTCAAACACAAAAAGCACATGAAGAAGGGGGATAATTATGTATGTTTGTACCATCAAGTCGCAGCCACTTATGGTGATCCAGACAACGGGCTTTCCAGGCAAGTGAGAAGCAGAGGTGGTTGGCCCATGCCTTCCTCTGCAGAGTTATCCTTGGGGGTCCAGTGTTCCCTCTAAGCTGAGTTAGTGTGAGCTAGCTTACAGTTTTTAAGCCTCCAGCTCACACATTTTTGCCTTCGCTCAGGAAGGACGGCCCCAGAGCAAACTAAATTATGCAGTGGCCAAAATGCAGTAGCTCACAGCTTTAATGCCAGTAGCTCACAAAGCAGAATTTTTGCTCACAAGACTCCACAGCTTAGAGGGAGCAACCCTGCTTAGCTTCTGAGATCTGACAAGATTGCTGCCTTTCCTCCCGAGGATGACATTACTGAAGGTCTGTTTCATAAAGGATCCAGCCTTGATCAGAAAGAGAGGCGTGGAAAAAAAGTTAACCGTAACAGGCTTGTAACACTTATAGGAATAACAACAAGCACACAGGGAACACGGTTAAGTTAGATAAACACAGAAAACACCGTGTTGAAATAATACACACAATATTCACATGCACTTATAGCTAAATGTATGTGCTTTTTATACACAACATCAGCTCTAGCATATTGTAAACACTTTCAAACGACAACATCACATTTCAAACACTTTCAGACTAAGTTATATAACACAAAGAGTCTAACTGTCTTCTTCCTGATGGAGGATAAATACCAATGTACAGTTATTTGCACCGAACAATGCAGCAACCTGTTGTACATTTCCCAAGTGATAATCCATCGGGTAAAGCTAGCAGGCAGCTTGTAATTCTCACTGTGATGATTCAGCGTAGCCAGCAAGCCTAGTAGGTGTATTTTCCCATGAGGTGATTCAGCTAGCAAGCAGGCCTAGCAACACGCCTCCCGGGCATAACCTGCGTGTTTCGAACAAATCTTCTTCAGGCATAAATTTTCCTGGAACCACAGCTCTTGAATTTACCCATGCATAAGTCAAACAATGTAAACATGGCTGTTCTGGTTCTTTAGCTATATTTAGCTATAAGTACATGTGAATATTGTGTTTATTATTTCAACACGGTGTTTTCCGTGTTTATTGTAACACTTATAGCCTGATCTGGAGATGAAATTGCATATCGCATACATTCCAAATGCTGCGAATTGTCTATACTTCGATACAGATGTTCACATTCAAATTGAATAGGAGAAAACCTTGTTATTGATATAAAAAACAAAAAAGCATTGTTTGGGAGAAATTCAAAATCTTGGATGTCACTAAATAAAAACTACCAAAGGATCAGAAGGGTCATGTTCAGAAGGGTCATGTTTGTCCCCGACCTCACACAGGCAAGGAAAATAATCCAGAGGCATTCATTTTGCATAACAATTGCTTATTGGAACGCTTCACGAATTTGTGTGTCATCCTTGCGCAGGGGCCAGGCTAATCTTCTCTGCATCGTTCCCGTTTTAGTATCTGTGCTGCCGAAGCGAGCACACAATCGCTTATTGTTCAGTCCAGCCTTTTTCAAATCATACGCTCTGATCCCCAGGGAATTTTCTGCCATATTACAAAACCAGTGAGTCTCTTTCTTTGATGAATGTGCCCCCCCCAACACTTGCATGTCTCCTTTTATAACTTAAGGTGACACTTGATTTCTCTTTTCCTTTTATTACTTCAACTTTTCCTTACCTTAGAAGTTTCCAGATTATTGTCCAACTTAATATATTAAAACCTACTGAGTGTTCATCAAATTGGGCACTCTTTGGTTTCAGCATTTTGGGGGCCACAAACAATCCAGTTTTTCCTCTCTTCTGCGCAGCCACGCCTTCCTTTTTCTCTAGGCTACAGAATCTTCATCTCTTTATTCCCCCTCCCCCTTGCAAAAGGAGATTCCGGAGCTTCAAAGAGCGGCGCACTGTGTGGATCTGCACCTGCATCAGAATTTTGCTTCTTATGAGCTGCGAGAGAGGTCAGCCGCTGCTTCACACGGTTCTTCCTTGCGGGAATGGCGCATATTTAAATACACTTAATGGTAAATGTGGCTCACTAAAAACCACATCTAGTGCAGGTGGCATGGTATAGCCGGATCTCGTGAAATCTCAGATGCTAAACGGGGTCCATTCTTGGAGGGCAGAACCCCAGGGAAGACTCTGCAGAGGAAGGCCAGCCACCTCTGTTTACCTTGAAAGCCCCTTGCTGGAGTTGCCACAAGCACCTCACACACACACACACACAAAAGGACAAGGCTGAATTTTGAAAAACTAATTGCAAACAATGGCAGCTGAAGCTTCTTGCTATTTAAACTAAGAAGCCTTAACTGCCACGGTCTGCAATTAGTTTTTCAGAATTAGACTTAAGAACATAAGAGATGCCAATGTTGGATCAGGCCAAAGGCCCATCCAGTCCAACACTCTGTGTCACACAGTGGCCAGAAATACCAGGGGCCATCAGGAGGTCCAGCAGTGGGGCCAGGACATTAGAAGCCCTCCCACTGTTGACCCCCCCCCCCAAGCACCAAGAATACGGAGCATCCATTGCCCCAGAATCCCTATCTATACCTTGTGGCTAATAGCCACTGATGGACCTCTATTCCATATGCCTATCTAATTCCCTTTTGAAGCAGTCCATGCTTGTAGCCACCACCACTTCCTGTGGCAGTGAATTCCAAGTGTTAATCACTCTTTGGGTGAAGAAGGACTTCCTTTTATCTGTTCTAACCTGACCACTCAGCAATTTCATGGAGTGCCCACGAGTTCGTTCTTAGTGGGCCATCTTAGTGGGTCACGACTTGGTTCTTAGTGGGCCATCTTCACCATTAAGTCTGACTCAGGCCCCGGTCACACGGGAGGATTTGCCCCATGAAACGGACAGGATGAGGGCAGATTAAACCAGCGCGATCAGATGCCAACATCTGGCAAGTGTCGCGCCCCCGCCCCCAACCCGTCGCTACCGGCTGAAAACGCGGATTTAAAAAAGACCTGCAAAACACTACTACTTACTGGGAAACTTGCAGCATGGGCAGCCGTGTGATTGCCAACGCGCCCGTATCACGTGGTATGCAAGGTCCTGCCACACTGCGCATGCGCACAACTGCGCAGCTGTCTCGCCTCGCCCTTCGTCCCATCGCTTCCCCCTTGGCATGTGATCGTGGTGGGGAGCAAATGCGGCGCGGCTCGGGGGGTCTGTCTGATCCTGATGCCGCGCTTCAATTTGCTGCGGCTCTAAAAAGCCGCACTTCTGCCGCGGCTTTTCCTGCTAGTGTGACCGGGAACTCAGTGTGTGTGTGCCATTCCAGCAAGGGAGAACCAACACGTTCATTGTTTGATGAACTCAGACTTAACATTTAAGAGTAATGGGGTTTTTATAAAACAAATAAATGGGATAAAAACTTCAAGACTCAAAAGGTCAAGAAATCTAGAGCTGGGACCAAGTACGGCACAGTATACCGAATCCAGGGGTCATTTCCTGCAGGAGCGCACAGGAGCGGAGCTCCTGCAGTAAAGAGCCCAGGGGGCGGGCACATGCAACAAGCCCCGCCCCCTGCTCCCAGCAGCCCTCAGTCAGAGCAAGAAGCAGCCAGGTAAGTTGCAGAGCTCCCCCCAGCCCCCTGGTCCAAAACAGCCCAGTGGCACCTTTAAGACCAAGTTTTATTCAGGTACAAGCTTTCCCTCCTCTGCAGGGACAGATCTGCACGTCCCCCAACAGCTAGCCATCCAAAACAGTCCAGTGGAGCCTGAGCGGTGGGTGTTGCCTTCTGACACACTTCTGGTGATGTCAGGGGTGTGACATATGCAAATAAGTTATGCTAATGAGTTATGCTAATGAGCTCCTGCACCTCTTTTTCTACAAAATGACCCCTGACTGAATCCGTGATTTGCGCAAATTTGAAAGAAGAGTTTTCCTTTTAAAAATGATCCCAGCGTCATTTAATGGCAAATAAACAAGATGGACATACAAACTGGATGAAAGTAACTGGTGGGACTGCAGTTAAACGAAAGCTTACACACGAACACACACACACGTCTCCATATCTTCTGGGTCTACAGTGGGAGCTGCACAACAAAACCTGACAGCATCAGATTCTGTCACTGAACAGCAGGTGAGGAAGCCGGCAGGTGAGGCACCACCCTCCTTCTGACTCACAAGGAGCCCAGTGTTGGAAGGGTGGTATTCTACTGGTCTGAGTTGGGGGTGTGCATTCTGGCATCTTTGTAAAGAGGAGCAAAGAAACAAAAATGTACACTTAACCTTCAAAAAACTTCCAGGCCTTGTGGTTCTTCTCAGCGGCAGAGTCATCCAGAACATCAGAGGAAATCACTGCAATGGGCAGACACACAGAGAATCAGAACAGGAGAATTAGTGGCCTAGTCAGACATGTCATGCTAAAGCAGCCCCCAAAGACAAAAGATGAGGGCACAAGCCCTCTTGGTCACCCGCAGAGCCTGGGGCTCAAGTGCTCTCAGAAGCCACACACACACACTGGTTCCGGAACCTCTTCCCCTAATTCCCATGCGGAAGGGGGTGATAGTCACTAGTTGCTGGGAATAAAAAGTCCCTCTATATATACTCCTAGGCCCGGCTGAGGCTCTTTGGCACAATTATAGATCTCAAGAAGAGTTCCTGAAGCTGAACTGTGCCTCAAATCAAATCCTCTCTAGGTTGTAACTAGGGATGTGCATTCGGTTCGTCCGAATCAAATGCACCCCCGAAAATGGCCCATTCAGACCCCTTTCAGGCTGCTGCAGGCCGATTCAGATTCTCTGATCTGAATCGGCTTGCCGCCGAATCGCCGCTGAATTTCGGCAGCAATTTGGCCCCATTATATCCTATGGGCCATTGAAGTCAAAGACGAAAACATAGGGTATATTCTGGGGGCTGGAGGGGAGGGGGTTTGAGGGAGAGGCTCCAAACTCGCAGGGTAGCTGCTGGAGCCTCTCCCCAAGATACCAACCAAGTTTCAAGAACATTGGACCAGTAACCTTTTTCCCCACCATAGAGAACAATGGAGGGGATAGGGGCAACCTGTTTGAGGGCCCGTAGAATTGGACCCCCTGGTCCAATGCTCTTGAAACTTGGTTGGTATCTTGGGGAGCGGCTCCAGCAGCTACCCTGCAAGTTTGGAGCCTCCCCTTCAAACCCCTTCCCCTCCAGTCCCCAGAATATACCCTATGTTTTCACCATTGACTTCAATGGCCCATAGGATATAATGGGGCTGAAACTGACATTGGGCTGGCCGAAAGACTCCTGAATCCACTTCTACTGCCCAAATTGACATGCAGGAGTCTTTATGCCGGCCGAAATTGATTCTGCTCGATTCGGCAGAATCTGAACCAGGCCAAAAAATTTTTTTGCACACCCCTAAGTTGTAACTTATTTGGCAGAGGTGGGCAGAGATTAGATTGTGACTATACACTTTCCAGAACCAGACTAAGACAGATGTAATGTCTTGAAGCAGCCACCGTCTTCAGATCGCAGCGAGTGTGCATTCAAACTGCTTCCTCCAGATTTAAGAGGTTACTTCTGTTTTCGCCCAAACACTCCATAGCAAGGATGGGCAACCTTTTAAGGATGCATCCTGTAACATCAAGAGCACAAGCGTGCCACTACGGTACCCATCAGTTTGTCCCTCCTCCTCCATGCCTTAGAACAGTTCTGCCTTCAGCCTAGGTAGGCAGGGAACGGATAGCACTGGCAGAGGCTGATGGTCAGGGGTGTAGGCTTAACTCTGTGCCAGGGGTGTGCCATATAGACTCTCTCCTCCTCAACAGGGAACATCAGTCCCCAGGGCTTGTGTGTGTGTGTGTGTGTGTGTGCTGGTACATAACGATGCAGTGTCCCTGCAACCTCTTTGTTGTGGTGCTCTGGAAATATTTCCCTGCCAGGACCAGGCCTGGCCGATTGCTCAGAAGCCGCCAGTTGGCCTGTCCTTGGCAGCGCCAGCTTGGCAGGCTCCCTCCTTTGCCAGGCCCTTCCCTCACGCCAGTGCCGAGTCTGCTGACAGGGCATTTCGGCTCCCCTGCCACCTTCTCTGCCAGTTTCTACCCACCTGAATACGGTCCCCCAGGGCTGTGAGCATCACGAGTGCCAGCATTTTTTTTAAAAAAAGCATTGCCTGTGCCACAAATGATATACACCCATGACCTTGCAAGTGGGCCATCGAGGTATTCACAAACAAAGTTTCGGCTTACCTGTTCATCTAAGCTGGCTGCAAGAAAGAAGCAGGTAAAAATTCATTAAAAACAGACTGTGTTGGTCTGAAGCAGCAGAACGAAGTGTGAGTCCAGTGGCACGTTTAAGACCAACAAAGTTTAATTCTGCGTATAAACCTTAGTGTGTACACACACTTCTTCAGAGACCAGTTTGAGTCCAGTGGCACCTTTAAGACTGACAAAGTTTTATTTTTGGGCATGAGCTTTTGTTTGCATGCAAGAAAGTACATCCAACAAAGCTTAAATCTGGGAATAAGCATTCATGTGAACTCTTCCTGTTCTTGACAGCCAGTGTTCCCTCTAAGCTGAGTTAGTGTGAGCTAGCTCACAGTTTTTTAGCCTCTGGGTCGCCCATTTTTGTCTTAGCTCAGGAAGGATGGGGCTCCAGAGCCAAATCGCTCGCTCACAACTTTAATCCCAACAGCTCACAAAGTAGAATTTTTGCTCACAGGACTCCATAGCTTAGAGGGAGCACTGCTTGACACCCAAGCCCATAGCTCCCAAATACAAATTAGGTAGAGTAGACACATGACAGAATGGGAGTTCATAATTTCAGCGGGTTCAAGGGTCCCAAATATGTAATCGGAATCATAAGGATGATTCTGTGATGTAAATAATACTGGGCCATGTAAAGATGGGTGAACTCTCTTCAAGCCAGTCTGGAACTAGCTTGGTATTGGCAACCGCTCCATGTGTGAGTATTTGGAAGAGGCTTGTAAGGTTCGAACACAGGCACCCAGGGGGCTGCAGGCTCACACACGATCCTGTTTCCCCTGAGAACAGACAGTTGCCTTCATCTGCTCTGCACCCACCCCGTAGGTCCAACCGTGACACGGAGCTGCTTGGACATCCCACCGTGCCCCCCTCCCCCTCCCACCAAACATACTTGGGAATAGCGAACGGCTTTCAGAGCTTAGCGGGAAGCACATACATACATACATACATACATACATACACCTTTATTGGCATAACACCGCAACAGAAAGGGCAGTGAAACAGTTAGAAAAATAAACAAACAAATTAATAGGTCATGGCAAATTACACCAAGCTGCCCCAACAAAAGATCATTTAGAAGCTTCTCGTAAATAATATACTCAGTTAAAAATATAACAATTCTAAAAAAAACACAGGGGGATTAAGACTTGTACGCCCTTACTCTAAGCTCCCAGACAAAGGCTAAGAATTCGGCAACAGACAAAGTAAGTGCCGAGAACTTATCAGACAATAAAATTTTAAGATCTTTGTCAGTCGGATTCCTTGTAGTAGGTAAATGGGGGCTAATCAGATGGCTACGCATAGTAGAATACTGGGGACAGCATAGAAGAATATGAGCAACTGAATCAGGTGCACTATAGAGGCGATTGCAGGTTCTGTTCCTATAGGGGATACCCATATATCTGCCTAAGACCACAGCGGAAGGGAAAAGATTGAATCTCGCTAACAAAGGATGAGATGGCTAGACAGTGTCATAGATGCAACGAACATGAAATTGAGCAAGCTTCAGAGGACGGCGGAAAACAGGAGGGCCTGGCGGGAGCTGGTCCATGGGGTCGCGGAGAGTCGGGCTCGACTGTGCGACTGAACAACAAAACATAAAAACCCGCCGATAAAGTGGGATTGTTAGATTAGAGATGTACTGAGCCATAGAAGCTTGAGGAGGGGGGGGGAGAAGGTCAATGGAGCGTGGGGAGCAGACTCCATAGCTCCCGGCATTAATTGTTTGGGCTTCCATATCCCAAATCCTCCTCCTCATCACCTGCAAAATAGCTGGCAAACAACAGCCACGGTAAAATATATGCTCAGAACATGAGCGAGAGTTAGAGACCCAAACAGAATGTGTACTCGCCAAACAGATGACTGCTCTGTCTGGTGGTCACATGGTTCACAGAAACCAAGGACCGTTTCCTCCACAGTGGGGAAGGGGGTGTTAGCACTAAACAACGATAAAGCAGCTTGATTGGGATGCTGGGTCTGCCATAAAATGATTGTGCATGCTCAGAGGGCCAATTTGCGCCTTCAAAAATCCTTGTGTCCGTTGGGCAAGGATTACTGGCTTAGTCTCGGACCTTGCACGTGGCCACGTAAGTAACACAGTTGTTCAAGGGGAGCAAGCAGCAGCTCCAGGGGGCAGTTTGGGGGGGGCAGAGGATGGCACGGAGAGGACCCACACATCTTGGTTGCACAAAGAAAAAGGCACATAAGTCTGGAAGCCACAGAACCCCCACTGAACCTCCAATTCAAAGTCTTCTTGTTATCGCTCAGCAAACATGAGGACCTTCTAACATGCGCACTGGCTCTCATTTAACATTCTGAGTTGGAAAATTGTTCTTGATTCATAATTAGAACCTCAGAAGAGCCCTGCTGGATCAGACGAATGGTCCCTCTAGTCCCACACCCTGTCTCACCCAGTGGCCGACCAGACTGGTACCAGCGGCACAGATCTCGTTTCCATTGGGTGGGATTTTCTGCTTTTGTGGCACTTGTGGCAGAGCTACCACACGTGGGAAGACCCAAATCAAGAGCCTTGCTAGTGCTCCAGCTGTTTCCCTTATTCATGGGCAACAGCAACAGGTTTGGCCATTATATGAGGTCAGAATAGAGCACTTCTCCGAGAGGGATCAAGTTAGATACCAGTTGCTTGTCACTCAAGATCATCTACCCCACCGCGCACAAAGCCAGGCTGGCACTCTGACTTGCGGGGAGGGCGGGGTATAAATATAATTAAATAAATAATAAATAAATAAATACTAACCCAAAAAATGGGCTCAGGGTGGTTTACACCTTTATGTCTGAGAGGCCAACACTTGTCTGGATAGGAGGAAAACCAGTTTGGTGTAGTGGTTAGGAGTGTGGACTCTAATCTGGGACAACTGGTTTGATTCCCCACTCCTACACAAGTCAGCTGCTGGGTGACTTTGGATTGGTTAAACAAGTTCTTTCAGAACTGTTCTCTCAGAAGCAGTCCTCAAAAGAGCTCTCTCAGCTCCACCTTCCTCACAGGGTGTCTATTGTGGGGAGGGGAAGGGAAAGGAGATGGTAAGCCACTCTGAGACTCATTCGGGTAGTGAAGGGTGGGGCATAAATCCAATTTCTTCTTCAAATACAGACTCTGTAGCATGCAAATTCCCTCCACAATGAGTGTTTGTTGATCTCTCAAATGCACGGCACATTAAAAACTATTTGGGAAGGTAATACCAAGGTAATACCAAGGTAATACCATGAACATGAAATTGAGCAAACTTCAGAGGATGGCGGAAAACAGGAGGGCCTGGCAAGATCTTGTCCATGGGGTCGCAAAGAGTCGGACTCGACTGTGCGACTGAACAACAACAATACCAAGTCTCAGGAAATTTGGATATTCTGGACTAATTTTGACCTCTTTCTGTGTTTATCTGATACACAGACAGAAACGACAAGACACAAAGGACAGACTGCAGCCGGAGCCGGAATTTTCTCACCTTGGATTTCAGTAGATGCGCTGCCATTAGACCAGGCTGTCCACTTGTTCCTGTGCTTGCCAATCTCCTGCACTTTGCAGATGTAGTGCCCCTGATCCTTTTGCTGGAGATTCAAGATTAAAAATTTGTACACTGTTCTATGTCTCTCCTCCAAAAGGAGCAGCCTCCGCTTATAGAAGTGACGCGTGTAGTTTCCATAGTACTGGACGACCCCGTATTTAGTCATTTTGATCATCAGACACTCTTGGGCTGGTGGGAGGGCGAAGACCCAGCGGACAGCGAGCAGGCTCTCCGTCCGTCTCTTCTGAGAAACGTGGCAAAACAGGCTTGCATTTTCTCCAACTGCATACTGCACTCTGGGCCCAGGTGAGACAGTCACGTTCAGAGCTTCACAAACATCTGTGAAGGGAACAACAAATCAATGCATCCAAGACGACTATCCTACTGTCCAGAGGGGCAATGATACCATTGCACAACAAATGCAAGGGCATTACTTTTTTATGGGGTCTGCCGCTCTTTTTATTTCTAGGAGTTCAGCACTCGTCTTCCAACATGGGAGTATCAACCGTCAGCAGCAAAAGGAGAAGCCAAATCAGCTATCAATTTTGCTTTGTGATTTGTATCGTTGGAAGCATTTTGCATCGATCTGCAATAGCTTCATGCAATTTTTACTTCATTTGCCTACCTGACAGTAATGCCAGTGGAAAGACTGCATATAAATAAAGCCACAAGGCAACCGGTCTGGCTGGTAAAATCAACCTGTGATTCCTCCCTCTTCCCCAGAAGGTACTGAAACCATTGCTAGAGTTGACAAATTTTCTTTGGCTTCAGGAGCTGGCCCCCCAATGTCGGCGCGAGATGAATTTTTCAGCCTTCGGAGTTTCCTATTTTTCTAATTATTACTATTCTAAATCCTAATCTTAACATCTTCACATTTTCTTGCGACACAAAAAGCTTACCTCTAACCCTAACCCTACTTTCCCCAGAGTAAGAGTCCAGTAGCACCTTAAAGGATACGATCACACACACTCAGTAATTCACTTTCAAGGCAATTTCCAACTGGATTCTGCCAGTTCACACAGTAAAATCCAGGTGGAACGTGTGCATGACTGCAGTCAAAGACTAACAAAATCTGTGGTAGGGTAGCTTTCATGAGTCACTGATCTGAAGAAGGGAGCCGGTGACTCACGAACGTTCATACCCGGCCACAGATTTTGTTAGTTGCTCCTGGACACTTACTCTTTTCTACTCCTACAGACAGACTAGCATGGCTACCCACCTTGACTACTTGCCCCAATTTCTCATAATGTCATTATTGCTTTTAAAAGCTTAATTTAATTGAATATTGGAGCCGGTATAGAGAGCAACTGGTAAAGAAATGGATTCATCCACAATCGTAGAAGAGTATCAAGTCAACATATATAGACGCAAGAATTTCAAGCACGTGTATTTTACGTCATATTGCAGAACTTATCGCACCGCAGGACTGCGCTCACAACAGAGAACAACTGTCATTGAGGCAAGGCCAAAGAATGTAAATGACCATTCGACAGTGCCTGAAGACAAAGGCATCCCGTATCTACCTGAGAAATTACTGAAATGTCTGAAAAGATTACTGGCAAAGGCTGTAATCTGACCTAACAAGCCAGCCCAAGATTCTAGCATGGTATTTTGTCTACTTCAAAACCAAAAGCTACACGAAAACTCTCACGCCACAGTGGAGGTTGTGATTAGGGTTCCCATTTGCCCATTTATGGTGGGAGACCTCCAGCCAACTGTAGCCCTTGTCTGCTGCCTGACAAGTGGAAACTGGGCCAAAGAGGAAGAGTATGATCATTCTGGGGAGAAAGGCCTTGGCCACTGACTGGAGGTTTGGAGCACAGAGTTCCTGATGATTCCTAGAGCTACCGGGAAGTGACACGGGTAGCTCTAGGATCTCTACAAACAGGAACTCTATCATCAGAAATTCCAGGAAGGCCTTATTTTATTTTTTAAATCTTTCTCCTGGGATTCTTCCCACTGGTTGCCAGGAATTGTGACCAATAGCCCAACACAACAAAGTTTGAGTCCAGTGGCACCTTTAAGACCAACAAAGTTTTATTCATACTTTGTTCTGCTGCTTCCGACCAACATGGCAAACCATCTGAACGGCCCAACTTGTAAGCCCAGGTCTCAGCTGGCATTTCAGCGACTGTTTAGGTTCTACAGGTTCTACCGCATCACCTCCTTCCCTTCCCTCGCACATTCTGTTGCTACGCACACGGACACTGTAATTCAATAAATGTACACCTCAATTCATTTTAAACTTAGCACATCACAAACATTTTTTCCATCCCCGTGTAATTCTTTCCACACGTTTTGCAGCAGCTTCAAGTCTCCGTCGTACTCCTTCCCTATAAAGAGGGCTCCAAACAGCCTTCTTCTCGCTTATAGCAGGAGACATATCCATTTGTTTGCCTGTTTGTTTGTTTGTTTATAATGTGGCTGTAACTCAGACAACATCATCTCTATCTTCCCTTTTCCGGTGTCGCTCTGAAACCACTCCCACAGCAACTGTTAGGTTATTCCCTTCCCTTTCCCCTTCCGCTATCCTCCTAGTGTAACTGTCAAATCATTCCCCTGACTACTTGAGAGAATCATCACATCAACTTTCAGCACTTCCTATCATTGAAGATCCTCCATAAAAATTCTTCCCAATTAAAAACTATAGTTTTTTTAATGAACTTTTTCAACACATCCAACCATCATGTGCACAAAGAGATAATCAAATAAACAGGTTAGCCTGAAAGAGAATACAAGGCCCAGGGTGAAACCTTAAAATAAAAACCAAATAAACCATTCTTTTCATACTGCTTATGTCTACACAAAACTACTTGTTTCTCTACGCCTTATTTCCAAGATCCCTATTCCCACCCACCCCCACATACATTATTCTTATATTTTATGTAACTACTGGGATTGTTCCCGAAACGAAAATGATTTGTTGATAGAAATATGCATGTATCAGTCCAAAAATGCAACTGACCACCCACACAAAAACTGAACAATGGACAGACACACCTAACAAACATAAATATACTGATGCATTATTTGGCAGGTAGAGTCTAAACCTATAATGTATGTTTGTAAAATGCTGTCAAATTGCAACCAACTTATGGTGACCCCTAACAAAGGTTTTTCAAGGCGAGTGAGAAGGTTTGCCGTCTTCCTTGGTGGTCTCCCTTCCAAACACCGACCCTGCTGAGCTTCCAAGATCTGATGAGAGCCGGCTATCCCACACCCCCTTCCCTTCAATAAACCAATACTATTCACTGTTAATTCACACATTCTCACTTGAATTTCAAATAGCAATTAACATAACATCTGTTGACTTTCACATATCGGTGTGAACAGACATCACTGAAGTTTTAGGAAGACAGACATCCAGAGGTCATTTCGGGGGGGATTGCGGGGGATCGCAGTTCCCCCGGGTGAGGTACGGGGGGGCGGGGCACATGACGAAGCCCCGCCCCCTGCTTCCGGCCGCCCCACTTCCGGCCCTCATTCAGCCAGGAGGAGGCAGGAGAAGAGGGAGGGTAAGTTGCTTCCTCCCCAAAAAAAAAGGGACCGTTGGGGGCGGGGGGTGTGGCCTTATGACACACTTCCGGTGATGTCAGGGGGTGTGGCATATGCTAATGAGTTATGCTAATGAGTTCCCCTAGCTCTTTTTCTACGAAATGACCCCTGCAGACACCCTTGATAAGTATACATCATATGACATCCACTCTCCCCAAAGAGTCCGTATATGAACCAGATCACAGACCCAGACAGCAACCTCTTCTCTTTTTCCTCCAAGAATCTCAGAGAGAAGCACTGAGAATGCTCCAATGATTTTTTTCTCTCTTTTAGAGGGAGTGAAATGCGTCCTAAGGCAAGGTTTTTAGCCCTCAGAATGTTTTCCAACAGGAAAACTGGGGGACTTGGGGGAGAAACCCCCCCACCTGTTATACTGTACATATATACAACATTTTCAAGATCTTTAAAAATAATAATAATAATAATTTCCGCAGCAATTGATATGCTACAATGTGTTTAATGATAATACATTATTAAGGAATTCAGAGGTTTCCGTGTTATAGTTAGCTTAACACTCAAACATGCCATTAAGTTTCTAAAAATGGTTTCCAAATATCTAAAAAGAAGTCCATACACAGTCGCCATTTATGCGCCACATGTTCAAATATTGATAAGTGTTCTAACATCCTCAATCCATTGATTTACCAGAGTTTATAGAAGTTTATTTTATAAAACTGTTGTTATATTTTTGTCCTAGTTTTTTTCCCTTCTTTCTTAATCTTATTTAGTTGCTGGATTTAAAGGTTTTTTCCTTGTCCTTTTCTCCTGCTTTTTTTTTTTTAATAAAAAATACCCAAACATTTCTGTCCAAATAATACACCTACTTTTGTTTACTACAGAATTTGTTTTCTACCTTCAATTTTGATTTTTCTCTACCTGTCAGATGGCCAGCACAGGGTGCAGCGATTAGCAAATATTGAGTATATTTGCAATTTTTCTGACAGAAAAAGAAGATATTTATAGTTTCAAGTTCTATAAATATACCAAATACTACAATTTTCAATGCTAATCAGGCTATAAATGAGGCACTTTATGTTGTTTAACCAGTAACAGAAGTTTGAGAGCAAAGTAAGTTTTGCACATATTTCAATATTTACCCAAATTCCCATCCCCCCCCCCCCCCAGGGGGGGGGGGGGCCCCCCCCCACAGGGTGGGGGGGGGGAAACAGAGGGAAAAACGTTTTCTCCAGCAGCTTTGAAATGTCCCCAAAATTTTACATCTCTACTCAGGACACTGCCAGTTTCAGCGTAGGGTCTTGCTTGGTCCTTTCTACTCCAACACTGTTTGTGGGATCTAAGTCAGCCAAGTTGTTTCTCCACCCTCCCCAGGTGGAAAAGTGGTTAGGGGGGATTCTGACCAAGAAAATGGTAGTTCAAAATCCTTCCCCTGCCTGTCCGAGTCTACTCTTCAGTGCTGCCTTTTCAGCTCAAAACAGGGTTTTTGTTATTAGGACTGCTGCTGTTGCTGCTGAGATAACAAAACAAAAAAGGAATGCCATTCCAAACAGAGAAACGGTGCTGGTCCATCCTGCAAAGCCAAATGAATTTCTGCTCCCACTTGGCAAAGAGACCTCAGTACTCTTTATCTGATTGTTTAATTCTCCTACCTTAATGCACAGATTCCCAATGAAGAGGGCAATGATTAAAGACAGGCTATCTGGATAGGAGGGGGAGGGAAGGTGTCGAGTTCCTCTGTATTTTGTCACAGATCCAAGGAGAGTGGAATTCCTGGGCCCTGCCGCATATGGCTTCCGAGTCACCCACCAAATAGCTCATGATGCACACCAGAGATGCTCTTCAGAGCTGCTGGGGACTTCTTGCGCCTGGGGTCTGCGGAGCCAGTGTGTCCTCCCCCCCCGCCCCCCAATGCTGCCCAGCACGTCTTCCAGGCGCAATTCAAGTCCCTGGCAATTCGAAGCACCTTCCCCTTACATCCTGAGCATCCTTCCTCTGGCTGCAGCGTCAGTTGCCAGTCGCGGCTCTAGGGACCAAACGGAAGGCGACCCTTAAACAGGAGTCCCCACCACCCCACACGCCCAGCAACACACACACACACACACACGCCACAATTTATTGAACTGAACTACTTCCACCAAGTTGCTTGGGGCAACAACTGGGCACGCGGGGGGCGGGGGGAGAACCTTTCTCCTCCCCAGCAGGCTTTTCCAGCCCAAAGGCTCCAGCCTGCATTCCCGATTCGGAGCAGACAATCCGGCTGCAGAGAGGAGTAGGCGCCCGTCCCCCTTCCCCGCCCCCAGCGGCACGCCAGTCTTTGCAAGAGGCCGCTCCTGCTGGCCTCCGCTGGCCCTCCTCTCCCCAGCTGGCACCTGTCCACATCTGGAGGGAAGGCGGGCCAAGCACCAGGGGCGCCAGGGTGGCCAACTCCAGGTGGGCAAATGCCTGGATATTCCGGGGTGGGGCCTGGAGAGGGCGAGGGGGGAGGGGGAGGAGATGGAGCTCATGACTGCTGCTCTAGAGGCCACCCCCCCACCCCCCGTCCAGGGAGACCCAGACCTTGCCGGCTGCAGATGCGCTGCCGCTCCAGGGAGTCCCCCGGCGCCGCCTGGAGGCTGGCAGCCAGGCCCCCTCCCGCCAGGCTTGCCCGGCTCGGGGCCAAGTCCCTCCTCGCTCGCCCACGAAGCGCCCGCGGGCTGGCTGGCTGGGTGGTCTCCTCGCCGCCGCCGCCGCCGCCGGGGGCCAGGCGGAGGAAGGGGCGCCGTCGGTGGCGGAGAGCCCGAGAGCGGCCGGGGGGGCAGGCGAGGAGGGGCGCGGGGGCTCCTCTCCAGGCCGGGCGAGACCAGCGGCCTGGCTGCGGCCGTCCCATCGGGGGGGGGGGCCGGGCGGGCGGGCGCGGCGCCCCCGGGTCCTCCTTCTCCGGGCTCCTCCTGGCCCCTGCTCCCGGCCGCCGCCGCCGCTCTTACCTGGCCAGGGCGCTCCGGCCAGCAGCGCCGCCACCGCCAGCAGCACCAGCCGCCGCATCGCCGCTCCGCGCCCGCCCGCCCGCCAGGGAGGGAGGAGGGTCCGCGCCGCGCGGAGGCGGAGCCCCTTGGAGAAGACCCGGCCGGCCCCCCTTGGCTGCGGCGGGCGAGGAGGGAAGCAGCCGACACCGGCCTGCCCTGCTGCCCCGGGAGCGCTTCTCCGGCCGCGGCCCAGAGGCCGTCTGCACGCCGCCTGCTTTGCTGGGAGGAGGAGGGGCCCTTCTCCGGCCCCCGGGCTGGCCGCGGCCCCCTCCCCCCGGTTCCCGCGCTTCCTTGGACCGCTTTGGGGGGGAGACGCCGGCCCGGGTGGCTGGGTCGGCCGCCCGGTTGCTCTGAAGCAGCAGCAGCAGCAGCAGCGGCACGAAGTTGGGAGTCCAACCCAGGCTCCCTCTAAGCTGTGGAGTCTTGTGAGCAAAGATCCTGCTTCGTGAGCTACGGGCATTCAAGTGGTGAGCGAGCCGTTTGGCTCCTGCATCAATGAGTCTGCTCTGGGGCCCTCCTTCCTGAGCGGAGACAAAAATGGGTGAGCTGGAGGCTAAAAAAACTGTGAGCCGGCTCACACTCACTCAGCTTAGAGGGGACACTGAGTCCAACCCTGTTTGAGTCTGGCCATCAGCTTTCCATCCTGTGCCTGCCACAAAGTGCAATTATGGGCCTCAGCTTTGCACACTATAATGTACTGAGTTCGAGACACCCGGTAGTGAAATCAGCTCATGAGTTTATTTGAAGAACAAACTAAAGACAAACTAGCCGGTCCAAAGACGGCTTAAATCCCCCAACTAAACCACACCCTGCTCCCCCTGATAGGTCTTCTATGATGCACCCAGAACCCATAGGTCCTTTCCTGAATCCCAGCCGTCCTATTGGTCCACTCTAGGATCCCTGCTTGGCATTGTTCTCCAATGCAAAGCTACAGCCGTTCGCATGTGTAAAACTCTGACTGCGTGTGCGGTCCATGTTGGTATACAACACCCCTCCCCCCATGGTTCAGAACCCCCCCCCCAGCAAACATAGTCCCTCAAGTGTTCCGGTTTCCGCCACAGGCGGGTCAACCGGCGCACTTCTGTGGCCAGAGGCGCTGCCTCGGGGGCTGGGCTGATTGGTTCAGTGGAGGGTCCCGGTGATAGGGCCTCTGTTGATACTTGGAATTGCAAGTTGCTTACACTTCAGCCATTACAGAGTTAAATGTTGTTTGTTAGCAAACAGGATGTTACGTTACATAATATATTCAACAGCGGGAAAGTTTGTGGGAGTTGTTTACCCTAATAAAGTGACCTGTAACCTTTGTATTGGTCAACTAACAACTTGTTTGTGGAAATGCTTTGATCTAGCATTCATGTATTCACAAGGTTTATGGCCCTTTGTGTGAACCAAAGAGGTAGTTCTCTTTGGTGTAGTGGTTAAGTGTGCGGACTGTAATCTGGGAGAACCGGGTTTGATTCCCCACTCCTCCACTTGCACCTGCTGATGTGACCTTGGGTCAGTCACAAGCTCTGGCACAGCTGTCCTTGAAAAAGAGCCGTTTCTGTCAGAGCTCTCTCAGCCCCGCCCACCTCACAGGGTGGCTTTTGTGGGGAGGGAAGGGAAAGGAGTTTGTAAGCCGCTTTGAGACCCCCTTGGGTAGCGAAGGGCGGGGTATAAATCCAATCTCTTCTCTTCTTCTTCTTCTTCTAGAAAGATATAGCTGTTAGCATATATTACTGAGAGTAAAACTAAGTATGTAACCTTTTATTTTACTTCTTTTATCCAAAGTACCCTACCCATGTTTTATTTTGTTTTTATAGTAAAGATATTTTTCTTTTACTAAGTGTGGCTCTCGTGTTAAGAATCCCAACAGTTCGGCCGGGCTTCTTGCGCTGGTGGCTGGTGGTGTACTGTTGTGGCTGGCCGGCGGTGCGTTAGGTTGTTGTTGTGCTTGCCCCGGTACCTAAGGCTCATTGTCACCTTCGGTCTCTGGTCACCTTTCTTCGTCTTCGCTGTCCTCTGTACCCTCCGGGTTTCCCAGTGTGATTCGGTGGCGCAGCTGATCTGTGTGTCTCCTCGACAGCTGGCCATCGTCCATGGAGACTTCATAGGACCGGGGGCCCGTGACCCTGGCCACTCTGGCCGGGAGCCAGGCTGGACCCCGACTGTAGTTTTTGGTGTAGACTGGGTTGCCTGGGAAGAAGCCTCTTGGTGCTTCTCGGTCTTCTGTGGTCGCACTGTGTTCTGGGGCCTGATCTGGGTGTAAGCGGTCCAGGCGGGTCAGGAGGCGCTGACTGTTGGAATTGCAAGTTGCTTACACTTCAGCCATTGCAGAGTTAAACGTTGTTTGTTAGCAAACAGGATGTTACGTTAAGTTTGTGGGAGTTGTTTACCCTAATGAAGTGACCTGTAACCTTTGTATTGGTCAACTAACAACTTGTTTGTGGAAATGCTTTGATCTAGCATTAATGTATTCACAAGGTTTATGGCCCTTTGTGTGAACCAAAGAGGAAGTTCTCTTCTAGAAGCCAGGAGAGATTGAAAGATGTAGCTGGTAGCATTTATTACTGAGAGTAACTGCAAGTATGTAACCTTTTATTTTATTTCTTTTATCCAAAGTACCCTACCCATGTTTTATTTTGTTTTTATAGTAAAGATATTTTTCTTTTACTAAGTGTGGCTCTTGTGTTTGCAATACGACCATCGACCCTGAATCAAAGAATCCCAACACCAACCCATCAGGAGTTCTGCCGGGCTGCGGCCAGTAGATGTGTATGGCCAGGGGTCTTGTTGTAGAAAAAGAGCTGCCGGAGCTCATTAGCATAACTCATTAGCATAGCTTATTTGCATATGCCACACCCCCTGACATCACCGGAAGTGACAGAAGGCCACACCCCCTGACATCACCGTAAGTGTGTCAGAAGGCCCGGCTACTTACCCTCCTGCTTCATCCTCATTCCCAAACGGAATGAGGATCGAAGCAGGGGGCGGGGTAAAGAAGGGGGCGGGGCTTCACCACGTGACCGCCCCGCCCCCTAGAGGTTCTCTTCCGGAGCTCCGTACCTGAGAGCTCCCCCCCGACTAGAGCCCTGTGTGTGGCATCATGCACTGTCCGAAGAGGAAGGCAGCCAGATGGTAGTCCCAGTCTCCCTGATCCATGCGGCGTAGAGACTCCTTGGTTGTTCCGACCATGTGCTCGGCCTGGCCATTGGTTGCGGGGTGGAACAGTGCGGAACGGATGTGCCAGATGCTGTAGTATTCCACGAATTCCTGGAACTCTGCCGAGGTGAATGCTGTCCCATTGTCCATTACCAGCAAGTCAGGTGTGCGCAGAAAATCTGCCACATTGCCCGGATCGTGGCCTCGGACAAGGGGGAAGGTACTGGGACCCCCTCCAACTACTTGGAGTAAGAGTCCACCAAGATAAAGAAGATTTGGCCCTGGAAGGGACCCGCGAAATCCAGATTAAGCCTAGCCCAGGGTTTGTGGGAGGACTCCCAGGGGCTCACTGGAGCCTTTGGGGGGGTGGGTTGGGCCGTGATTCTTGACATGCCTGGCAGCGCTTAACTCACTCTTCGATTTCCCCGTCTAGTCCCGGCCACCATACGTAGCTCCGCGCCAGTGCTTTCATTCGCACGATGCCCGGGTGCGTTTCGTGTAGTGCGGTTAGGACCCTCTGGCGCAGCGGTGCCGGTATAATTACTCTGCCGCCCCAGAGTATGCAGCCCTTAAGTGTCATCCCTTCTGGACAAGAAAGCAGCAAATTCTGGCGGTGGGCCATCCCCTCCCCACCCAGTCCAAGACCCGGGAGAGGATGCGATCCCTGGCTGTGTGGCGGGACACCTCAGCTACCTGTACCGGGCGGTCAGACAGGCCTTCAAGCAGGGCGACCTGATGAGCCTGGGTCGGATCGCAGGATGGCAGCGGCAGCCGGCTGAGTGCGTCCGCGTGGCCCATCACCTTACCAGGTCTGTGGACAAGTGCATACTGGTGCCCCGCCAGGAAGATGGACCAGTGAAGCATCCATGGTGACAGCATCGGAGGGGTCTGGCAGTCGGGGGCAAGGAGGCCTAAGAGAGGCTTGTGGTCCGTAGCAATGGTGAAGGGCCGGCTGTACAAGTAGTCATGAAACTTTTTTATGCCGGCCATGACTGCCAGGGCTTTCTTATCTATCTGCGCGTAGTTGCGCTCCACCGCAGATAGGGTCCGAGGATAATAAGCTATGGGGACTTTGCAGCCGTCAGCCAGGTGGTGGCCCAGGACCACCCCACCCACCCCGTAGGGAGAAGCATCACACGCCAGCACCACCGGCAGGGACTCATCAAAATGGGCGAGGACCACATTGGAGGAGAGTAGTTCCTTAAGTGCCCAGAAGGCCCCGGCATGTCGGGGGGCCCAGACCCACGGAGAGTTTTTGTCGAGGAGACGGCAGAGGGGTTCCGTGACGGTGGCTTTGTGGGGCAGGAAGGAGTGATGAAAGTTTAAAAGTCCAAGGAAAGCCTGTAGTTTGGCCTTAGAGGAGGGGGTAGGTGCTTGGACGATGGCGCGTATCTTCTCCAGTCTGGGGTGGATTCCCTGAGCGTCTACCGCAAACCCCAGGAATTCCACCCGCGGTACCCCCAGCAAACACTTCTCCCTCTTCACATCAAGGCCCGCATCGTTGAAGCGCTTAAGCACCAGCCGCAGGGATCCTACCTTCGTCGCCAGTATAATGTACTGGGTTCGAGACTCGTTGTAGTGAAATCCGCTCATAAGTTTATTTGAAGCACGAACTAAAGACAAACTAGCCGGTCCGAAGACTGGCTTAAATCCCCCAACTAGACCACACCCTGCTCCCCCTGATAGGTCTTCTATGATACACCCAGAACCCATAGATTCCTTTCCTGAATCCCAGCCGTCCTATTGGTCTACTCTAGGATCCGTGCTCGGCATTGTTCTCCGATGCGAAGCTACACCCGTTCGCATGGCCACGTGTAAAACTCCAACCGTGTGCGTGGTCCATGTTAGTATACAATACACACGAAAGCTCATACCCAGA